CACACACACACACACACACACATCATCATCCTGACATGTGACTACACACGTTTGGTCTCACACAGCGATGACGCACGCACTCACCTGTGCTGGCTCTTCAGCAGTTCCACGGAGGTCCTCAGGTCTCTCAGCTGGGTCCTCAGCTCCTCCACCGTCGGCGGGGTCAGGGGCGAGTGCCGGAGCTCGGGGGAGGGGCTCAGTCCCGAGGAGGAAGACTGGGAGGTGGGGCGGAGGGCGGAGTTCGGCGGGGTCAGGACAGTGGGTTTGGTGGGCAGTGGTGCTTTACCGTCAGGCGCCTTTTCAAAACAGGAAGAAGAAACATTCACCTGCTGGTTCTGCTTGAGTTTTGTTTCGAGATTATTTTGTCAACGAGCCCAAGAACAAACTTTCAATCTGAATTCAAAGTGCTGAAAACAATCGAAGATACAAACATAAACAAGATGACAAAACTTTACTCAACTACAAAGCGACTAATGGAAATCTGAGTGAGATTGATTTGAAGTTTTAAGAATCTGTTGAATGTGTGGAATCAGAGGATCTGCAGTGTGGTGCCCTCTGCTGGATCAAATAAATAATGCGACAGTGTTGAGTGGTCGTACAGGGATGGTGGGAATTCCTTTTCTCAGCGAAACGTCCACAGATCTGACAGGAACAGCCTCCGGCTCTTCCTTCCCTCTCTCCTTCTCCTTCCTGTCCTCCGCTGCCGGGGAGTCCAGGTCGATACCGGAGAGAGAAGACTGAGAGAGAGACGGAGAGAAAAACGAGTTCATCAAACCATGAAGACGTGAAGTAGCATGTAGACCTTCCATTCTGAGGAGTCTGACTGACACACTCACCGCTGTGAAGATCTGTGAACGAGGTCGGCGGTCCGTCACTCTCGGCCGCGTCGCCGTCGGATGACTCAGTTTCTCCATAGATGGAACCACCGCGTCCAGGTCCACGTCTGCACAGACACACAACACGAAAACACACATTCCTCAGTAGGTGACACACACATGAAGACAGAGCCCTCTGACTGTTGTCCAGGCACCGTGTCCTGATCTCATTGGTCGATGCTCCTGTCAATCGCACTCACCGGTCTCCTGTGACCTGTCAGGGGCAGAATCTGGTGTCGAAGCCCCGCCCTCTGACTTGGGGCTTTCACACCTGAGCAGGTAAACCATACAACAGCGTTAGACTCGGGACGCTCAGGGATGTGCGGATGTTTTCTGTGTGTGTGTGTTTGTGCGTTTGTGTACTGACGCTACAGGAGGGGGTCGCTCGGGACGCCGCGGGGGTTGGGAGGAAGAGGAGGAGCTTGTCTTTGGGGGGAGGGGTTTCTTGGGAAGGTGGGACGGGAGGGAGGGCTTGGGGATGTCTCCGACCTTCACCTCTTCACCTACACACACACACACACACACACAAATTAATCCAAAACAGATGAACATACGATGGAAAAACAACTAAAAACAGTTTTACAAAACACATCAAACATCAATACACATATGTAGACACACACACACACACACACACACATTCACAACAAGGTGAGGACGAGCTGGAAGAACAGTGACGACGGTTCGAGCTGCAGCAGCAAAAATGAACTGAATCTGACCCAAGAGGATGAAAGCAGGTCGAGCAAAGATGTTAAAGAAAAGAAGAAGAAGAAGAATAAAGGTCCGGAGTCGCCCGAGGCTGCAGGAACGAGAGGAAAAGAAGCAGAGAGAGAAATGAGAGAGCGATGGAGAGGACAAAGAGAATCAGGACGGTGGCAGCAGTCGTGTTTATGAGGACTGTTATGGAGCTTTTATTAGATTCAGTTTCCAATGAAGATGAGAAATATATGAAAGAAGGGAAAGAAACTAATTGAGATTATTTTCCCTTTTGTTTTATCGATATATTTTCTGGCTTGAGGAACTTCGTCTAAACACAGTGAAGTATTTCAATCGATAGTTTAAGTGAGGATACAAATCAAGCACCCGACCGAAGTTGATTTCTTCAATCAAAAGATTTTTCTTCTGCTCTTTCACTTATTTCAAAACGATAGTTTCGCTCCATTTGCAGATAAAAAGCCATCGTCCTGTTTCGCTCTTTGTCTTTGTGCTGCAACGGAATCCAAGAGATTTAAAGCTGCGTTATTAATGTTCGGTTTGTTTGTTGCCAGATGAGCGGATAAGTAGGAAAGTCGTGAGACGCTGCAGGTGTAAGTTGAAGCAGGTCACAGTCGGCTGAGCGGCACCACCGGGGTCTGAACTGTACCTCGATCCTGGTCTCTCTGCGGCAGATGTTCGGGACGCTCAGGAGGAACCTTCCTGACCTCCGACTTTTTCTCTACAGGTCAGAGTTTGTATTGTTTTATCTGTCTCACTTTCTCTCTCAGGACAAACAGACACATGAAGAAATGTCCAGTGTTACCTGTGGTGTTTTTAGCCGAAGGTGCGCTGGGAGGAGGCGGCTTCTTTGGTCTCTGGAGACGCACACAGAAGCAGAAACATCAGAACAACACGTCAGGAATCCGTCACGTCTGTGAGACTCTCCGGCCTCCGAAACGTCACAGCACACACACAGTTTCTCCAGATGCCAAAAATTACCTCCTTCTCCACCTCGAGCAGCTTCACGAAGTTGTCCGGGAAGACGCCCTGCCTTCCCCCGATCTCGCCCATCCACCAGCCTGCATCCGCACACTCCTGGACAGAAGACAAATCGAGTTTCTAAACCTGCACCAACAAACCCGGCAAACCAAACGATGCAGACACACCCACACATATTAACCAAACGCACAAAGGTGCTGACTCACCTTGGTGATGATGTTGATGATCTCTCCCTCCTTGATCGCCAGCTCGTCCTCGTTTTGTGCTTCGTACGGGAAGAGAACTTTACACTGCTCCCGCCCTGACAGCCAATCAAACCAAAGAGAGTCAGATAAGTGATGATGAGCAAAACTACGAGAGCGACATCAAGAGGGTGGACAATTATTTCCTCCTTTGTGGGCGCAGATCTGGACAAAAGTTCTCGGTAAAAAATCTGGAATATTCATGATACGGATATCAGATTTGGACCAAGAAGAGTCTTGGACGGCGGAGCTTTCCAAAAGCTCCTGAATGCACCAAGAAGGAACCATTTTCAAAGCTTGGCCTCGTAACAAGTCTGTTGTAATACTGTGACAGCAACAAACAATATTGTGTTAGAATGAGAGGAAGCGTTTCAACTGAAAGGCAGGAAGTGATGTAAAATCTATGGCACGCTGTGGAAAACAGTGTGAGACACAGCAACGAAGGAGACAAAAGCTGAAACGTACAGAGCGCACGTGTGTGTGGAGGGAAATGTTTTATATTAAATTATAAAATCAAACATACCTTTAGTTTTGTTGTCAGGTTCTGACTTCATGGTTTCAGGTGCGACACTCGCTGCTTTCCCCTCGTTGGCCTGAAAGATGAACAGGTAGAGAAAAGATTTGAGTTCCAGTTTTGTGTGTGTGTGTGTGTGTTTGAGTGCTTCTGCAGCATTAGACGTTAAAGGAGCCGTTGTTTTCCGACTGGAGTGGATCCCTTGACGGTGTTTGTGGAACCGGGGTGGCTCACACTCACACACACACTCACACACACACACACACACATTCACAGGGCCCGGTCTGTCCCGATCACACACACAGCTCTGTTCTGTTCAGGGAAGAAAAAAAAAACAACCCCACCAGAGTCTCTCTCCTCTCTCTCTCTCTCTCTCTCTCTCTACACCCTTCCTCCCCCACTCTCTCTCCTCTTCCTCCCTAATGAGACCCACGTGGTGCCACAAGCACTGAGACATCACTACAACATCACGGAGAGGATCACATGCCACCGAGCCCTCGTTCAGGCCGTGACGACCAAATAAAGAGTTTATTGAGGCCGAGGGTGACACAGCCACATTTGGGAGACAGAAAAAATTACACAGTTTTCATTTCCAAAGAGAAAAATGTTTCCTTTTCTCTCCGGCTGCAGATTTCACACCCTAACCCCACAGCTGCATAAGCTTTGCATCCTGTTTTACAGTTGTGTCACTGCAACACATCTCTCAGCCTGCAGATGCAGTGAAGTGTGACCAGAGGCAGGAAACTCTAACAGGGCTGAGGGCTGTTTGGTGTCTGTGTTGGTGTTTGGTGTTATGAGACAGAAGAATAAAAGAAACATGAGAAAAGAGATCTGGAGATATTTCCACTTCAGTAGTTGTGTCGTCTTTCTTTTTCTTGCTTTGAGCACGATGTTAAAGAGCAGGAAACACATCGTCAATCCCACTGTCCTCAGAAGTTAGAGAGTCTTGCGTGTGCTTGAAGACGTGTTGCAGTGATTTGGTTTTGCTGCAGCAGAGGCCTCAACCGAGTTTTAAGTTACTAAAACAGAGAAGTTCAGAGTTTCAGAAACTCAAAACTCCAGTTTCTGTGAATCTGTGTGTAAATGTAAAACGCTGGTGAAACAATGAGTTGTGCGCACCCACTGTTGCTTTGTGTAACGAGCATTCACCAGAAGCATCGACAACAATAGCACCTATACACCGGTTGTCAGGAGAATAAGCTCTGTGGGTGAGCTCACATGGTCCTTTCTATTACATACTGGAGGCACCCACAGCAACGAGGTTCTTGGTTCTAATCCAGGGCTTTCTGTGTCTGTGTGAGGTTTCCTGTGGGTTCTCCTGCTTTCCTCCAAATACACACAGATTCAGCGTGGACAGCTGATTTTGTGTCTAAAAATCCGCCCTGCGATACACTGACGACCTGTCCTTGGGAATTTCAGTCAACTGGTCCAAGATCATGTTACTTTCTATTAATAGAAACCTCTCACAACCTACAAAATCTGTATTGATGCGTTAGGGTTGAGTATGTTTTACCTTGAAAAGGCCACAATCCCTCCTAAAATGAGAAGACACGCTTTCTTTTTCACTGTGAACTCAGCCGTTATCAAGGCTGAGTGACTCGGACTCGCACAGACGCTGAACACTTCTGCTTTTGTTGACGTGGAGGCTCGAAGACGTTTCATGCCAAAAATACAGAGTCAGTATTAGTGTCAGTCTGCGAGAAACAGAAACCTAACCAACAACTTTGTGCGTCTGCGCAATAAGAAAACACAACACTGGAGCCGGAGCTGCACACTGGGACGACCTTGCAGTTACACAGGTGACGTGGCTTCCCGTGACTCAGCATCCCCACCGTCCCAGATGGAGACGGTCACCTCCTCCAGAGCCTCATTAGGGAGCAGAGAGACTCGTCTCACCATAAAGCAACATAACAGCCTCTCGCTCAGCAGGACAGGCTGACCAACATCCTTCAGAACACACACACACACACACTCGTATGTCTGCAGGAGCTGCAGCAGAGTTTGATTATCAGAGCAGTTAATGAAGATCTATGCCAAGTCATTTATTTCATCTTGATTCTGCCTTAGTTTCATTTGGATTCTCAGAAAATAAGGTTTTGAATTTACAGTTACATCGTTCAGAGGCAGGTTTTCGTTAAGGTCTCTATTTAATATTAGATCATTAAAGATGATTAGAGGAATAGTTCTGTTTCTCTTGTGCTCCACATCTTCTTTGAACTTTTGCAATTATTAACGTTACTTTTCAAACTTCTAAACATTTGGGGAAAATCACCCTTTAAAGACAGATCATAGAAAAGTTCCCAGGATAAAACCAAGAGTATCTTCGTGGCCAGAGAAGAAGAACCGGAACATGAACCAACTCTTGTCATCCTCATCCACATGTTTTCTACCATCAACCGACAACAGACAGATAAGAAACATGATCCACCACATCATCCCCACGAGCTGAATGTCCCCTCGCCCGTCGCCTTCTCAGCAGCTGAACCACAACATTCAAACGAAGAAGGCAGCGAGAAGCAAAGGAGGGAAATAAATATAAATGAATGAAACTAAAAACATAAATAAGAAGAAAAGACAGAAAGAGGAAGAGAATGTGAGAAAACTAGACCCTACCGTCCTCTCCTCTGGTTTCAGTCAGACAGAACGAGCTACATCAGCACAGGCTGCTGGAGACTGTGTGTGTGTGTGTGTGTGTGTGTGTGTGGGTGTTTGTGAGTATGTAAATGTCAGTGAAAACTGTATCACCTCCCTTCTCCCTCTCTCTCTCTCTCTCCCTCTCCCTCTCTCCCACTCTCGGCCCTGTGGAGCTCTCGCTTCTGCTTTGCCTGTCTAATCCCTGCAGGATATGCGCGTGTGTGTGTGTCTGCGTGAGTGTGTGTGTGTGTGTGTGTCACTGCAGACCACTTCCTGTGCTGTTAAACTAAAACAGAGGAAGGGGAGGAGCCAAGGCAGGGACTTCCTTCCCTCACTACTGACTCACTAAATGAAAATAATCACATTATCAAAAAAATCTATTAAAACAAACTGTGTGTGAACAAAACTTTGACTGGACGTTTAAACATTTGAAGGACGTTCTGGAGGTTAAGACCATGTTTCAGATAGATTCAGGTTAAAGGAGTGTGACTTTAACCTGAAACATCTCACAAAGAGAATTATTTCTTCCAGTGATGAAAGAAAAGAACAAATTCACAGACAATCGTGTCCTTCAGAGTTGCGGGTCACAGGAACACAACACCACCGACAGACATCGTGGCGATATTCAACAAAAGTAGTTGCAGTTTCTTGAAAACCCAGATAAGACTTCCGCCACCTTGACTCAACCTCTGATAAGCAGGAGAAAATGGATGTCATGCTTTTCCGATAGAAAGACAAACGATTAGATATCTAACGATTAGACCCACAATGCCGAGTTTGCGAGTACGTGGTCGGACTGGAGAAAAGCGTCAATCTCAGCGTCATTATAGATGAAAACATGGAGCCAAACTGTTCAAGGACGAATGCTGTCGGATGAAGTTCACGCCGTGCGGTGGAGTTTCTGCAGAAAGAGCAGCTTTTATCAGACAACAATGCAAAAACCTGAAACCTCCTACAGAAGCAGAATCCCTGAAGGAGCCTTGTTTCCGCTACAGAGCTGCTAAAACCGAACAAAGTGATTTGGTCTTAAAGAACCATCTTAGAGACGTGTTTGGCTCGAGCTGAAGTTTTCCTCTGTAATGAAACAGACACAGCAAAACCAACTACGACCTTTTTTGTACCTGGGATTATTGCTGAGTTTCATACGAGGGAGAAGCTTTGGCACTATTTAAGTTGGCTAAAACCATTATCACTACCATCTGACATCAGCCAAAGAGAAGCAGTTTCAGCCATCGCATCAGAAAGAATAAAGTCCCATATGTCATATATATATATATGCTCATATGTTCGTGACTCACCTTGTCGCCCTCCGAGTCGATTTCCATGGAGCGAGGTCGGAGCTTGATGGGCTGGTCTTTAAAGATGTCACCAAAACCAAACCCTCGGACCTGAAGGGTGGATTAAAGATCATGACTCACTCGTTTCTTTTAAGCTTCAAAATAAAGCTCTGAAAACTTCTGAGCTGGATTCTCCGTGGAGCCGTGGAGGAGGACAGGTGTCACATGTCTCAACATTTAAGAGCTAGGACATGTAGCATCGGCCAGTGACGTTCGCTCTGTTCACGACTGATTACCTTCTTCGGCTGGATTTCTCCCGACCCTGTTTCCGACCGACTGTCTCCTCCGTCACTTTCACTGCCTGGACTGTCTTTACCTAAACACACAAACACAACAACATCAGCTTTTTACATCACTACTCCAAACGAGGATTTTAAAAACAATAACCATTTTGCTGCTGAACGTCTTTTCCCGTGAACTGATTGGTTCAGACTCACTCGTGCGTCCGCCGCGGGGCTCCTCCTGCGGGGTGGGCGTGTCTGTTGCGGCCGCGTCGGACTCTGTCAGGACCACTTTGGTGAAATTGGAAGGAAACATCCCAGTTTTGCCGTTAAGAAGCCCCTCCCACCAGCCCTCCTCCACCTGAACACACACACGAGAAGCAGAAACACTTGATTCAGAAATCAGCACAAAGCTCGATCCAGACAAACACACTCAAATGTGTCACATTGTTTTATGGTAAGAACATTTTTTTCCCCAACATATTGTACCAATACTCTCCCTGTAATGAAAAACACACAAACTAAATCGTATTAATTCCATATGAGGCTGTTTATGTCATTCACAATCTCAACTTTCAGGCCGACATCGACACAAAAAGTCCTTAAAATGCTCTGAAAATAACAACCTGATCTTCTGAAACACATTTTATCTGAGAAGATTAACAGCTGCGGAACAAAAAACAACAACAAATAGCTTCCTCTGGTTTAAAAATCTTGTTTTAAGTTCATCCATGACCTCGCTCATGTTTTTTAATGAACAGAACAGAATGTAGATCAAACACAAGGAATGCAGCCTCAACTTTAAAACCACTCTGTATAAAGGGATGAGTGAGAAATAAGAAAAATACATCAACACATTCTGACATTACACTTGTACACAACATGTGTACATATAATACTGTTAAATAACTGGATTGTCTTCTGAGTATTTCTCTTGATGAAGTTGCTGATGTTGAGCGTCTTCTGATTTGGAGTTGTAGATGTTACAGACACTACCAAGCCGACCAATCCCAGCTCTTCGTCTCATCGTTCTTGTAAATCTGTATTCAATCTGTTCTTAGGTTTCTATAATACATGAACACCGACATTATCTGTTTCTTAAATTGTCAGAGAACAAAATGTCATCATGTAGCGTGACACTGGCCCCTGGTGGACAAATTAGACACAACCATAGCGCATCTCATTAAAGAAGCGATGACTGAAGTCCGGTCTCACCTCTGCTATGATCTCGATGACGTCTCCGATTTTCAACTCCAGCTCATCTTCGTGCTGAGGCACGTAGCTGAACGCAGCTTTACACCTTCGCTTACGGATTTGCTCTCCTGCAGACACACACACACACACACACACACACACACACACACACACACACACACACACACACAAGACATATTTTTGTTGCACATGTGACATAGTTAGCTCCCACTCTTCTCCATAATAATGACTTACAGTGAGCAGGTGGTCACTGACTTATTAAAAGCTGTCGTGGCTGAGGACATTGACCTTTGACCTTTTCAGCCAGGGGTCAGTGTAACCAGCACTGACACTTAATGCCTCTCGTTGGCCTTGCAGTTGTTTGTCTTTCACCCATTAGTCTGTTCATTAGTCTGCACATTAGCCTTGACTCATTCCACACCAGCTGGGCCCTCGTGCCCTGCACTTCCTCGTTTGTCCACAAGGGGTCGTTTGACTTTATGTTAAATTCCAAGCACCCATGTTTCAGGTCGTCAACACATTTAAAGAGCTGGTTCTTGGCAATAATTTAAAAATAATAAACAATAAAAACTTGGCTTATTGTCTATTAGTGGTCGTTTTGTATCTTTTTCAGTTGTTTTGTGTCTTTGGGTCAGTAAACTTCTTTTGTGTGTCCTTGAGCATCCATTTCTAGTTGTTTTGCATTTGTGTGTAGTTGTCTTAGTTTGACCACTCGTCAGCAGTCACTTGTCCCGTGCCTCCCCTCTGACCCCACCCCTGAGGACGTGTGTATAGTAAGTGTGTAGTATGTAATATACGTATATGTATAAGTACCCATGTTTGCAGTAGAAAGGTGAGGAATGCTTGACCCAAATCCTTCCTGACACTAATAGGATCTATGTTTGAGCCTGACGACTTAAAGCTGCCTAACGAACGCCATGTATGAATGTACGTGTCCGCGTGTAAGAGCTGTGTTTACCTTTCCTGCCCGGCCGAACACCGGGGTCAGACACGGGGCTGGCCCGGCCATTCGCCAGGTCAGACCTGATCATGCTCGCCTGTCCTCCATCCCGCTTCCCCTCTTTCTTTATCTCCTGCAGAGAGAGGCGGGCGAGATGATTAGATGAGGAGGAAGAGGAGGAGAGGAAGAGATGGGAGGAAAGGTAAAGAAATACAGGTTACAGAAACAACAGGGAAATAAGTAAATGAGAAAAAAGGAAAATCTGTTAAACATTTCCATAATTTAATTAAAGTAAAACATCAACGTGGTTCTTAAATCAAAGCATTTAACAAAAACGTACATGACATTTTTAAAGTTTAATAAATACACACAAAAACTATGATGCATATTTGAGTTATTAACAAGCAGGAAGTCAAAACTTGTGCCACATCTCTCTGCAGCCTGATACTGATCTGATGAAACACATGTGACTGATCCACATAAAACAGATTCTTCAGTCGATGTCAAATTACAAACACAAGCACATCAATATCTGGTTTCGTAGAAATGACTTCGGTTACGGTAAGTTTTAAGACTTTATTTCTTTCTTTATTGAAGAACTCTGGTATCAGATCAAGATTCAAATGTTCATCACCAGATTGTGCGTCATGTCAAATTCGCCCCGGCTTGATTTTTAGAAGAAGTGACAGCTCTATCACCAAGCAGTGTGTGTTTATCGGCCCCATGCAGATGCTGCAGATGCTGCAGTGGAGCGTCATGACGTCAGGACCTCAGGTGACCCTCCGTGTTTACCTGCAGACGTCCAGCTTGAAGCTCATAAACGCTGCATGGACACAAAACCTACAAACCGCTGCTGCGGCCACAGCTCTTGTTTCCGCTCGCCCACGCTCTGTCCCCATGACTTCCACTCGCATAAAAGAATCACAAGACGACAGCATGAGAAACTGATCAAGAGGAGGAGAGAGCGGCAGGCGGACAAACACGCCGAGCGACAGAGCAATCAACAAACGGACAACAAACAGGGGGGGACGCACGCACACACAGACAGGACGGTTCACATCTATCCACCACATTCATCATGACATTGTTTCATAAGCTCTGGCCTGTGGCGAACGCAGCTCAGTGAGGCAGACGGGCCTGGGTACACTGACTCACAGAATCTAACCCCTCTCTCACACACACACAAACACACACACTGGCTGTGATCGGCCTGGTGTGGCGTGAACGCCTTAATGAACCACAGAAATCCAAAAATATCAACGAAGAGACGTTTCCTGGACGACAACCGAAGCTCATTTGAGGCTAGAAATGTGTTTTAGGAAGTGATGCTGGAGTTTTTTTTATATAAACCAACCTAGAGAGGAACAGTCACATTCTCAGAAGTTGAGGGGCCAATTAAAAGCTGACATGGGGTGTGTGCACTCCTCCGCCGACAGGAAGTGGCAGATTAAAAAGTGAAGGTGGAAAAAAAACCCTGAAACATTTGACGACTTTATTTGGCATCAATGGAGAGAAACCATTCCAAAACTTTTCAACCCTTAACCCTCAACATGTCAACACGACAAGTTGGTGGAAGCGTTTAAAAAGGAAAATGACTTGAAACACAGACGCTATACAACACATTCTGTTTACAGCGTCCATGTTTTTTCAACTACGTGAATCCACAGTCAGTGGAGCGAGAACCTCCTACAACACAAACCAACCAACTAACAAATGGAACTATACAACCTTGTACATCTCCGCTGGTGCAAATGTCCGTTGGACGAGTGAATGAAGTTGCACAAGAATGACGCTGTTTACGAAAAGAGGGGAAATAATTCTTGCTTTGCTTTTCTCTTGGCATTTCCCAAGTTCTCTTTGTAAGTTGGCTGCGTGTCCTTCTGCTTCCTCTTTCTGAATGTCTCTGTGCTGCAGTTTTATTTTGTGTCATTTCTACGGAGGTGAATCTGTCGCACACAGTAGGCGTCTGCTGCTGCAGAGCATTGTTTCACATTATCTGTGACTGGGCGAGAGAAAAGGTCAGAGGTTCTGCGAGAGGAGCCGCACAACCCAGTGTTGAACACTAAAGCAGAGCAGTGTAAACTACATTCTTTGCTGTCAGGCTTGTACACATGACGCAGACAAACACACACACACACACACACACACACACACACATAACACTCCACACAGTGTTGTGTACATAATGCAGGTGTTTCCTGTTCACATGTGATGAATCGCGTTGTCTTCCTCCCCTCGTTTCAGCTGCGTTTCCTTTAACTCTGAGTTACCTCCGTATCCCCAAAGGAGGAATTGCAGTGGAGCATGAATACAGTCCAAGTAGTAACAAAGGCCTGGGCTCCAAGAACAGTGCGGATCTTTTGTAAAACCACACAATCATTAGTGTCTGGTTCTCAACTCCCACATCTTCATTGTTTAAACAGGCAAACTGAGTAGATCACAGATGGATTTTTATATTATTTTTTAAAAAGCCAAACAGCTCGTACACACTACGTCTGCTCATTAAAAAGAACGCTTGAGGCTGACAAGTGCTCGATGTGGGTTTGTGCAGATTGGCATCTAAAGGGTTACGGTTCCCAGTCTTATTTATGCTGCCTTCACGTACCAAAAGACTCGACATACTCTACGTACACTCTCCATAACAGCACTCATTCTATATAGCGCTCGAGCCAGCTCTCCTGCACTGTGGCTGCAGAATCAATGTCTGTTTTCCTGGTTTTACATTGCCACTGCATTAGCCTACTTAACAAACGGCAGATGTCAGGGAAAGGTGACCTCAGTGGACAGAGAAGGTGTATTGATGCACTCACAGAGAATTAGCTGCAGTTCTCCTCAGGAGCAATTCAGCCTAAGTCGGCTCATTGTCTTTTGTTTACAGCCTAAAACTGTAGATTATGAAAACATGAGCCCACGGGTACAGACTCCCTACCCCCCCATAGAGCAGTGGTTCCAAAGTTAGGGGTTGAGACATATAATGAAATTAAAGAGCATTTAGAAATAGCATATTTTAGCCATAATTGTTATAGTTGATTAAAACATATAAAAGCAAAAACATATCATCACCCTTCTGATTGTTTGAGATGGACTTTGCATCTCCACAAAAATGAAGCCAATATACCCTGTATATGAGGGCCACCATCTTGTGGTGATGACGTCATTTGGAGCCAGAACTACCTAAAATGACACGAACCATCCTCGAGTAAAATTAGACGCGTACTTTGGGGGAGGCGGGATTTACGACCTATGCTGGAGCCACAATAAAGATGCTTTGGCGTCTGATCTGACATTTCCTTCACTCTGTATAAATAAATAATAATGTGTAAGATTAATGTAAATTCACATTTGCAGAAGTAATAACCTGCTTGGCGAACTTAACTATGAAAAACATGTAGTGTGGGAGTAGCGTCCTGTAAATGCAACAATGGGTGAAGCTCTTGGCAAGAAATCATTTTCAGCAGCAGAGAAAACTCAGATGATTGATCAGGGGTCATCCATTTGTACGATAGAACCCTGAAGTTACACAAACAAACGGAAAAAGTCAACTTCGGCGTAAAGTTCAGCTAAATTTAAGTGAACCAACGAGCAGCAAACTCAGCCGCTCTGTTGCACCCTGACGAACGACGTTGAGCCTGACTACCAGAGCATTAAATGTCAAATCAGAGCATGTGAAGCTGATTTGCAATACCTGCTTGTCTAATTCTCAGAGGTCAGATGACTCCAGCAGTTCACATAAACAGGAAGTCCTCCACCTCTGCAACAACACGGGCCTGTGGGGACGTCTGGTTGTATTTCTATCGTTCACACTATCTAGACAGAATTTGAAAGATATGTGTAACTCTTGTTTTAAATTTAACTGAACACTTCCCTGGTGATTCATGTGTTTTTTAGGCAGTGACTGCAAAAAACGATGGATGACGCATCCTCACCTCCTCATAAAAAGGGAAGCCAAACTCCCCGTGATACGATGCAGCCGATTGACGCTGGTGATGTGGTTCAGAGTCTGTGCAGCAGTGATGGTGGAGTGGAGCCACTGCTTCGAATTATTCATTAAAACAAACTTACAAGAATCACAAGATCTAATCCAGAAAAACTCCCTGGAAAACATTTGACGTGTTCTTTCTTTGACTTTTTAGTTCCGTCCATGTCCCATCTGCCAACACAGAGGGGGGGAGTTCATGACCTGTGACCACCAGGGGGCTTCGAAGATGTTTTGGCTTCACTTTTCTGAGCTATTATTTTTCGATGATAACAGTTTATCGAGTTGGTTGAATGACTCGTTACTAAAAAAAAAACACAGGTGCTGGTAATCGTACTCTGTGTAACTCTACTTCCTGTTATTTCACATTACAGCACGATGTTCAGAATCTTTCACAGAGTTGTCTTACCCTTTATTGAAAATGTTAAATCATTGACCTCCAGCCAAACAGTCAGTCTCCACTGAAGGGGGGCCGCCTGCATACCATCACTTCCTGTCGCCCCCCCCCCCAACAACACACACACACACACACACACACACACACACACACACACACACACACACACACACACACACACACACACACACACACACACACACACA